GAATCATTATTGTCAATAAAGTTTTCAGTACCTTGGCGATGCCGACGAAATTTGTCCCATTGTTGCTTCTAATGGTCACTGGGACACCTCTTCGATTAATGAAGTTTCGAACACACAGCAGGCAGGCATCGCTTGAGAGGTCGGTGGCAATTTCAAGGTGAACGGCTCTTACCGCGCCGACAAATCATCCACAAATGCTTCTTGTTGTACCTTTCGACAGAGGTACTTCTCGCTTTCATTTACCTCATCAACAGGCAGATCACCAGTCATATTTTCTTGTCCTCTAGCTTTCCGTAGACAGTTCTTCACATACCGAAGCAATCTATTATACTTGGAAAAACGTTTAATATTAGCTATAATAGAAGGTACTTGCCTTGCCACCATCACTTTGTATCTGGAACGCAGCTCGGTTTCGCTTCGGTCAGTCGAACTACCTCTTAAGGTGTCCACGGACCAATACTCCATACCTCTCTTTAAAAAATCAGGTCCATTCTTCCACCTTCCTTCAGGATTATACGGCCTTGACAGCTTCATGCGGGTCCCATCATCCGCTGCATTGTCTGCACCGGGACACCATTTCCACTATTTGCCACAAACTGCTTGTACATTCGATGGTCAGATCTTATCCACCGTACTACGGTTGAGGAATCTGTCCAAAAATAAATAGCATTAATGTTTTTAAGTGATTTTTCACAATAGTTTCCTTTAACCGCATTCCCATAACAGCGGCTTGCAACTCCAATTTTTGTATAGTGTGATACCGCGTTGGGGCACAACTCGTCTTACCCATAACATACACCACTTTTATGTCGTTACTTACTACACGCCAATATCCAACTGCAGCCATAGCATCTTCACTGGCATCCGTAAATATATGCAACTCACCACATTAGTATTAAAATTTGGGCTATAATATCTTGGCACATTAAATTTGACAATGTTTTTCATTTGTTCAAGCCACACTTTCCACCGACAATATATTTCTGTCGGCAACTTCTTATCCCACTTAATGCCACTCTTCCACACACACTGCATTATAATCTTTGTGGTCACCATAAAATCGCAAATGAAACCAAACGGGTCATAAATGGACATATTTGAACACAACATCTCACGTTTGGTTGGCACTTTTTCACATTTCAATATTTGTCCGTCCACTTTGTTTACCTTTAAGCCAACAGAAAACGTCTGTTTTTGGCGCCCATCGAATTCCGAGTACTCGTTCCACTCCGTCATTAATAAAGGTATTTCCACTTGTTTCATCATCCTCAGTGGGATTGCCATACTGCTTCAAAACATGCTGGGAATTGGATTTTATCCCGTGTAAATTAACTCCGGCCAATTTATAAATTTTAACAACATTGTTGAAAGTATTTGTTGCTTCATCTTCTGCATCAAAACAATCAACATAATCATCGACGTAGTGTCGGTCAATGATCCCATGCACAGCTCTTGGGGATTCACCTATACAGGTTTTGGCATTTAAATTTTTCACAAATTGGGCTATTGTGGGGGAACAGGTGGCACCAAATATCAATCGCTACATAAAGTAAATATCCACAGGCTTGTTCACGTTACCATCTCCCCACAAAAATCTTTGGCAATTTTGGTCGGTTTTTTTGACAGCAATTTGGTGGAACATTTCCTGAATATCGGCGCAAACTGCAATTGGTTCTTCTCTAAATTCAAAAAGAATAGCGATTAGTGGATTATTTATGTCTTGACAAGACAAAAGACATTAAATTAAATTTGGCAGCTGCATCAAATACTAGGCGTAATCCCATTTTGTTGGGATTTCTTACGCCAAAGTGTGGAATGTAAAATACATGATTGTTGACTTCATCAATAATAAGCTTCCGGCAATAACCTTTTTGTACGTAGTCTTCAATTTTGGATTTATACTCCTTTGCATATTCTTCGTTTTGTTGCATTTTTCGTTCAACGCTGTATAATCGATTAAGCGCCATACTCTAAGAATCGGGTAGTGAGGGAACGTCTTTCTTCCTCAACAAAGCACATTTATAACGACCATCAATTTGTTTCGTTTCACATTCCAATGTATCCAACGCTCGTCTATCCTCGTCTGACATCAACGGTTTTGTAGCGATTTTGACGCCCAATGTTTCGGTATCAAAATAATTTCGGATCTGGAACATCTGTGGAAATGTAAAACATGTTTAGAATAATTATTTTTCACCTGGAATTGGTCCATAAATTAAAGCTCCCAATCTGGTTAAAGTGACAATTGGCCCAAAATCATTCAAAAGGCGTGGGGCTAGCGGGGATCATTGCAACAGCCCCAAGTTGATAGTTATTCCCCGATATTTGTATACAAGCCCACAACTGTAATATCTTCTACGTCATCGACAATAACCACTAATATTCCAGAACACAGTGGCAAGTGTTCCTGATGAAATGGTTTTAAAGAAAGAACATAGCACCAATATCGTCACCAGTAAAGCCCTTTAAGAATGCCCAGCAATCAAGTTAGTAGCCAGTTGGTGGATACCAAACCTCTCATGATAGCAGAGCCGATGCAAATTCCCCATACCATACAAAGAGTTTTCACAGACCACAGAAGTCTGTTGTAGCTGCGGCTAGTGGAAGTTTGGATAAGACCAACCGAGTCATAGCTCTCGTGAAAAGTTGGAGCAGCAAAGTAAAATCGATAGCGATAAATGATTGCTATTATAAATGTCGATATAAAAGCCGACGTTAAGTCGATTTTTAAGAAAATTGTAAAAAATTGTGACGACATTGTATTTTTTAGTCGACGTTGATATTGTAACTTTTTTGGTATTTGATCATGAAAATAACAACAGCAAAACAATTTGAAATGTTGGTTTTCGAATTAGAAAAAATACATGTTTGGTAAAAGGGTTTACTAAATGTCATTTTCCAGCTAATTTTAAATGAGATTGGAAACCATTGCTACAAAATTAAATATAAACGGGTCACCGATTAGAGACTGGCAAAAAGTATGTTAAAATTAAAATTATTTTTGTATATTTTTATTAGTTAGTTTTCTAAAGTTCTTCTAGGTGTGGAAAGATTTAAAATTTAAAACTAAGAAACAATTGTGCACTATAAGGGTGAATCCAGCAGCACTGGAGGTGGTCCTTGGCGAATACAAAATATGGAAAACATAAATGTAACAGACGTTATAAATCATGAAAATGAGCCAGTGGACAATGCTGATAGCAAAATAAATAGCAAAATAAAATTACTCAATATTACAATTGCCACATGCTTGGTCACGGCTAAAATTGTTGCAGCTTTAAAACTTTTTGGGTTTATTGCGGTGGAAATCACAATTCTGCCGAATGGTAAAGTACCGCAGTAAAATGTGCTAACTGTAACGGAAGCCATAAATCAACTTCACCAGAATGTCCTGCGGGAAAATCATTTCTCGAGATTAGCCAAAAATATCAACCAAAGAGAGCGTAGATTGCAATACAATAGCTCCTCTAAGTACAATAACGCCTTTCCTAATGCATTAAACTATGAAAGTGTGTTGCCATCTAACACATGGACTGTTTCACAAAATCAACCTAATCAGTCATTTAATAGAGGAGATGAAAAACTTAATAGTAGAGTTAATCACAAATCTTAGCAGGTGTAAAACTAAACCCGACCAATTCAAAGTTATCACTTCTCCAGTTTATATTGAATAATTTCAAATTAAAAATAGTGTCTTGGAATGCAAGAAACTTTCGAAACAAATTAAATGAACTATTTTATTTTCTGGACCGAAATATTGATATTTGCCTCCTGAATGAAACCTGGCTAAGTACAGAATGTTCTTTTAAAAATAGGACATACTTTTGCTACAGAAATGATCGATATGATCAAAGAGGGGTGGAGTTGCCATTTTGGCTAAAAAGGGAATAGTTTATCAATTATTACCCAAAATTAATACGTCAATTATCGAAAATATTGGTGTCTCATATTCTACCGAAAACGACTTCTTAAATAAATACTCATGCTACTTTAATGGTGGGACCAGAGGCCTATCACCAAGTAGACTATTATATGCTTCAGACATCCTAACAATAACTACCTCAAATGGAAACTTCATTATTGGAGGCGATTTTAATTCGAGGCGTACTTATTGGAGCTGTTCCAGAATAATTCTTGGAGAAATATTTTATGTGAAAAATACCAACAGAACATTTTTTTAAATTCTGTTTTCTCAAAATTGCTCTTATATTCCAGCCGACAACCTTCGAACTTAGACCTACTTATCACTAATTGTATGAACATAAGGCATGTTAAAACAATAAATGTTCTCGAATCCGATCACATGCCACTTATAAGTAGAAAATTAAAAAAAAATGATTCTGTTCACTGATCAAAACAATACAATTCCTCCACAACAATTTGGGTTTAGAAAGGAAAACAACACATCCCCACCACTATTTAAAATTCAAAAAATTCATAAAAATTTTTCGGCTGGATATCTACTGGAATGTTCTTACAAGACATAAAATCAGAATTAAATCAAATATTATGTTTAAACTATACAAGATTAATTTCTCCATGGAAATCATAAAAATTATACAAATCATCTCTGTCAGAAAATCGATCATTGCTGGTTGTCCTTAAGGATCCTGTCTCTCGTCTATCTTGTGTAACATCTACACATCAGACATCCCAATTACACCAGAATGCATCGCTTCAAATTTCACAGACGACAGTCTGGAACTTTATCCTGCAATATCATTGAAAGCCTAGAGAAAAAAATATTTCTTCAAGTGGAAGATCCTACTTAATACAGATAAAACTGAATCTGTATATTTCACGAGAAAGCGTCGCTCAAGTCTTGTTCCACAGAGGCCAATCCTGTTTAATAATCAGAACATAAATTGGAAAACCAACGTTAAGTACTTGGGTATCATACCTGACACTAGAATACATTTCAAGAACCACTTTCCGTACATTGTCGACAAAATTAATAAGCAAATCCGACTTATGTATCCATTTATAATAAGAAACTAATATTCAAAGTGATACAAATGAAAGGAAAGTATATGCTCCTGATGGATCTTTTATATGTAAAAATGTTAACAAGTATACACATAAATGAAAAAAAATACAATACAATAACGGCTTGGAAATTTTGCACCATGGTTTTTCCTCAACATGTCGTTCGTTCTTGATTTAGTTTTTGAGTCACAAATTGGCAGTAGCAGGGCTGTCATCATCAGCAGGGTTGCCGTCAGCAACTTCCCCACCCACGTGAACTAACCCAGTGGGGGAGGATTCACCACATCTTGTGTCAACATCAAGTTAGTTTGGCTATTGGTCTTCTATATATTCCGGTGCTCGTTCGTAATTTAGCTGATCGGGCCACTCCATCATTACCCACATACAGCTGGATTATTCTGCTTCTCTTCCATTGACTGCTTGGTAGATCCGGATCACACACAAAAACTAGGCAGCCAACTGTGACTGGTTGCGAAGGCAGGCACCACTTCGTGCGACGAGTCAGCTCTGGCAAGTACTCTCGCAACCATTGGTTCCAAAAACCATTCTTCATGTTTTGCAGAACACGCTACTGCTTCCTCAAACACATCAACCTCGGCTCAAATGGTGCAGGCGTGTTAATGGAATTGGAGCATCCAAGCAGGAAATGATTCGGCGTCAACGGCTCGGAATCTTTTGGCGAAACTGGAAGATGGGTCAACGGCCTGGAATTGACCATATTTTCGGCTTCTATAAGGAAGGAACGAAACGTCTCTAATTTAGGCGCCTGCTCCTTCATCATGGCATACAATGCTTTCTTGACGGATTGGACCAGGCTCTCCCAGACACCACCTTCACCAGAATTGCTTGGTCTATTGAACATCCACTTTATCCCAAGAGCCGTCACCTTCGAATTAAAAGAATCATTATCGTCAATAAAGTTTTCAGTACCTTGGCGATGCCGACGAAATTTGTCCCATTGTTGCTTCTAATGGTCACTGGGACACCTCTTCGATGAATGAAGTTTCGAACACACAGCAGACAGGCATCGCTTGAGAGGTCGGTGGCAATTTCAAGGTGAACGGCTCTTACCGTCAGGCAAGTAAAAAGTGCTACCCATCTTTTTCTTTTTGACGCCGAATGGTAACATTAATAGGGCCAAAATAGTCCAAGCCGGTGTAGGTAAACGCTCTGACATAAGGCGTCACACGCTTCACAGGTAATGGCGCCATTTGTGGCTGACGAGGTTTGGCCCGAAGTATGTTGCAATACACACAGCTGGCTTGAATTCTTTTAAGTAGTTGACGAAGTGCCAAGAACAGGATTCAACGTCTTTAGCTCTTGTCAGACAATCTGCCGTTTATGGTAAGCGCCGACAAATCATCCACAAATGCTTCTTGTTGTACCTTTCGACAGAGGTACTTCTCGCTTTCATTTACCTCATCAACAGGCAGATCACCAGTCATATTTTCTTGTCCTCTAGCTTTCCGTAGACAGTTCTTCACATACCGAAGCAATCTATTATACTTGGAAAAACGTTTAATATTAGCTATAATAGAAGGTACTTGCCTTGCCACCATCACTTTGTATCTGGAACGCAGCTCGGTTTCGCTTCGGTCAGTCGAACTACCTCTTAAGGTGTCCACGAACCAATACTCCATACCTCTCTTTAAAAAATCAGGTCCATTCTTCCACCTTCCTTCAGGATTATACGGCCTTGACAGCTTCATGCGGGTCCCATCATCCGCTGCATTGTCTGCACCGGGACATCATTTCCACTATTTGCCACAAACTGCTTGTACATTCGATGGTCAGATCTTATCCACCGTACTACGGTTGAGGAATCTGTCCAAAAATAAATAGAATTAATGTTTTTTAAGTGATTTTTCACAATAGATTCCTTTAACCGCATTCCCATAACAGCGGCTTGCAACTCCAATTTTTGTATAGTGTGATACCGCGTTGGGGCACAACTCGTCTTACCCATAACAAACACCACTTTTATGTCGTTACTTACCACTTTTATGTCCAACTGCAGCCATAGCATCTTCACTGGCATCCGTAAATATATGCAACTCACCACATTAGTATTAAAATTTGGGCTATAATATCTTGGCACATTAAATTTGACAATGTTTTTCATTTGTTCAAGCCACACTTTCCACCGACAATATATTTCTGTCGGCAACTTGTTATCCCACTTAATGCCACTCTTCCACACACACTGCATTATAATCTTTGTGGTCACCATAAAATCGCAAATGAAACCAAACGGGTCATAAATGGACATATTTGAACACAACATCTCACGTTTGGTTGGCACTTTTTCACATTTCAATATTTGTCCGTCCACTTTGTTTACCTTTAAGTCAAAACAGAAAACGTCTGTTTTTGGCGCCCATCGAATTCCGAGTACTCGTTCCACTCCGTCATTAATAAAGGTATTTCCACTTGTTTCATCATCCTCAGTGGGATTGCCATACTGCTTCAAAACATGCTGGGAATTGGATTTTATCCCGTGTAAATTAACTCCGGCCAATTTATAAATTTTAACAACATTGTTGAAAGTATTTGTTGCTTCATCTTCTGCATCAAAACAATCAACATAATCATCGACGTAGTGTCGGTCAATGATCCCATGCACAGCTCTTGGGGATTCACCTATACAGGTTTTGGCATTTAAATTTTTCACAAATTGGGCTATTGTGGGGGAATAGGTGGCACCAAATATCAATCGCTACATAAAGTAAATATCCACAGGCTTGTTCACGTTAATATCTCCCCACAAAAATCTTTGGCAATTTTGGTCGGTTTTTTTGACAGCAATTTGGTGGAACATTTCCTGAATATCGGCGCAAACTGCAATTGGTTCTTCTCTAAATTCAAAAAGAATAGCGATTAGTGGATTATTTATGTCTTGAGAAGACAAAAGACATTAAATTAAATTTGGCAGCTGCATCAAATTCTAGGCGTAATCCCATTTTGTTGGGATTTCTTACGCCAAAGTGTGGAATGTAAAATACATGATTGTTGACTTCATCAATAATAAGCTTCCGGCAATAACCTTTTTGTACGTAGTCTTCAATTTTGGATTTATACTCCTTTGCATATTCTTCGTTTTGTTGCATTTTTCGTTCAACGCTGTATAATCGATTAAGCGCCATACTCTAAGAATCGGGTAGTGAGGGAACGTCTTTCTTCCTCAACAAAGCACATTTATAACGACCATCAATTTGTTTCGTTTCACATTCCAATGTATCCAACGCTCGTCTATCCTCGTCTGACATCAACGGTTTTGTAGCGATTTTGACGCCCAATGTTTCGGTATCAAAATAATTTCGGATCTGGAACATCTGTGGAAATGTAAAACATGTTTAGAATAATTATTTTTCACCTGGAATTGGTCCATAAATTAAAGCTCCCAATCTGGTTAAAGTGACAATTGGCCCAAAATCATTCAAAAGGCGTGGGGCTATCGGGGATCATTGCAACAGCCCCAAGTTGATAGTTATTCCCCGAAATTTGTATACAAGCCCACAACTGTAATATCTTCTACGTCATCGACAATAACCACTAATATTCCAGAACACAGTGGCAAGTGTTCCTGATGAAATGGTTTTAAAGAAAGAACATAGCACCAATATCGTCACCAGTAAAGCCCTTTAAGAATGTCCAGCAATCAAGTTAGTAGCCAGTTGGTGGATACCAAACCTCTCATGATAGCAGAGCCGATGCAAATTCCCCATACCATACAAAGAGTTTTCACAGACCACAGAAGTCTGTTGTAGCTGCGGCTAGTGGAAGTTTGGATAAGACCAACCGAGTCATAGCTCTCGTGAAAAGTTGGAGCAGCAAAGTAAAATGGCTATACAACAGAGTCAGGCCGTAAAGGGGTTGTATGGACCCATACAATGCTGCAAGCCTTCGTGACAGCGATTTGCCAAATGAAGGAACTTTTGATTACACTGTTTCTGGAATACAGCTCCAAGCCATGGACAATTCTCATGTTTCATTGGTTTCCCTAACATTGCGGTCGGATGGCTTCGACAAATTCAAATTTTAATTTTTTAATGGTAATACACTCTAAAGTTGCTCTTAAATTTTAAAATATTAGAAAAATATACTTTCAATGAAGACGACATAAACAAACTTTGTTTTTGTGTTGCATTCATTTAGGACGAATTCAGCATTACAACAACTTGTTTTGACATTTAAAGGTGCCGTCAGCTGGGGTGATCCGACTACCTAGTAGATCTACCTTTGATATAGGGTTGTCGTTTTTTGTCGATAGCGACAAATGATTGCTATTATAAATGTCGATATAAAAGCCGACGTTAAGTCGATTTTTAAGAAAATTGTAAAAAATTGTGACGACATTGTATTTTTTAGTCGACGTTGATATTGTAACTTTTTTGGTATTTGATCATGAAAATAACAACAGCAAAACAATTTGAAATGTTGGTTTTCGAATTAGAAAAAATACATGTTTGGTAAAAGGGTTTACTAAAGGTCATTTTCCAGCTAATTTTAAATGAGATTGGAAACCATTGCTACAAAATTAAATATAAACGGGTCACCGATTAGAGACTGGCAAAAAGTATGTTAAAATTAAAATTATTTTTGTATATTTTTATTAGTTAGTTTTCTAAAGTTCTTCTAGGTGTGGAAAGATTTAAAATTTAAAACTAAGAAACAATTGTGCACTATAAGGGTGAATCCAGCAGCACTGGAGGTGGTCCTTGGCGAATACAAAATATGGAAAACATAAATGTAACAGACGTTATAAATCATGAAAATGAGCCAGTGGACAATGCTGATAGCAAAATAAATAGCAAAATAAAATTACTCAATATTACAATTGCCACATGCTTGGTCACGGCTAAAATTGTTGCAGCTTTAAAACTTTTTGGGTTTATTGTGGTGGAAATCACAATTCTGCCGAATGGTAAAGTACCGCAGTAAAATGTGCTAACTGTAACGGAAGCCATAAATCAACTTCACCAGAATGTCCTGCGGGAAAATCATTTCTCGAGATTAGCCAAAAATATCAACCAAAGAGAGCGTAGATTGCAATACAATAGCTCCTCTAAGTACAATAACGCCTTTCCTAATGCATTAAACTATGAAAGTGTGTTGCCATCTAACACATGGACTGTTTCACAAAATCAACCTAATCAGTCATTTAATAGAGGAGATGAAAAACTTAATAGTAGAGTTAATCACAAATCTTAGCAGGTGTAAAACTAAACCCGACCAATTCAAAGTTATCACTTCTCCAGTCTATATTGAATAATTTCAAATTAAAAATAGTGTCTTGGAATGCAAGAAACTTTCGAAACAAATTAAATGAACTATTTTATTTTCTGGACCAAAATATTGATATTTGCCTCCTGAATGAAACCTAAAAATAGGACATACTTTTGCTACAGAAATGATCGATATGATCAAAGAGGGGTGGAGTTGCCATTTTGGCTAAAAAGGGAATAGTTCATCAATTATTACCCAAAATTAATACGTCAATTATCGAAAATATTGGTGTCTCATATTCTACCGAAAACGACTTCTTAAATAAATACTCATGCTACTTTAATGGTGGGGCCAGAGGCCTATCACCAAGTAGACTATTATATGCTTCAGACATCCTAACAATAACTAGCTCAAATGGAAACTTCATTATTGGAGGCGATTTTAATTTGAGGCGTACTTATTGGAGCTGTTCCAGAATAATTCTTGGGGAAATATTTTATATGAAAAATACCAACAGAACATTTTTTTAAATTCTGTTTTCTCAAAATTGCTCTTATATTCCAGCCGACAACCTTCGAACTTAGACCTACTTATCACTAATTGTATGAACATAAGGCATGTTAAAACAATAAATGTTCTCGAATCCGATCACATGCCACTTATAAGTAGAAAATTAAAAAAAAAAATGATTCTGTTCACTGATCAAAACAATACAATTCCTCCACAACAATTTGGGTTTAGAAAGGAAAACAACACATCCCCACCACTATTTAAAATTCAAAAAATTCATAAAAATTTTTCGGCTGGATATCTACTGGAATGTTTTTACAAGACATAAAATCAGAATTAAATCAAATATTATGTTTAAACTATACAAGATTAATTTCTCCATGGAAATCATAAAATGATACAAATCATCTCTGTCAGAAAATCGATCATTGCTGGTTGTCCTTAAGGATCCTGTCTCTCGTCTATCTTGTGTAACATCTACACATCAGACATCCCAATTACACCAGAATGCATCGCTTCAAATTTCACAGACGACAGTCTGGAACTTTATGTCCTGTCCTGCAATATCATTGAAAGCCTAGAGAAAAAAATATTTCTTCAAGTGGAAGATCCTACTTAATACAGATAAAACTGAATCTGTATATTTCACGAGAAACCGTCGCTCAAGTCTTGTTCCACAGAGGTCAATCCTGTTTAATAATCAGAACATAAATTGGAAAACCAACGTTAAGTACTTTGGTATCATACCTGATACTAGAATACATTTCAAGAACCACTTTCCGTACATTGTGGACAAAATTAATAAGCAAATCCGACTTATGTATCCATTTATAATAAGAAACTAATATTCAAAGTGATACAAATGAAAGGAAAGTATATGCTCCTGATGGATCTTTTATATGTAAAAATGTTAACAAGTATACACATAAATGAAAAAAATACAATACAATAACGGCTTGGAAATTTTGCACCATGGTTTTTCCTCAACATGTCGTTCGTTCTTGATTTAGTTTTTGAGTCACAAATTGGCAGTAGCAGGGCTGTCATCATCAGCAGGGTTGCCATCATCAGCAGGGTTGCCGTCAGCAACTTCCCCACCCACGTGAACTGACCCAGTGGGGGAGGATTCACCACATCTTGTGTCAACATCAAGTTAGTTTGGCTATTAGTCTTCTATATATTCCGGTGCTCGTTCGTAATTTAGCTGATCGGGCCACTCCATCATTACCCACATACAGCTGGATTATTCTGCTTCTCTTCCATTAACTGCTTGGTAGATCCGGATCACACACAAAAACTAGGCAGCCAACTGTGGCTGGTTGTGAAGGCAGGCACCACTTCGTGCGACGAGTCAGCTCTGGCAAGTACTCTCGCAACCATTGGTTCCAAAAACCATTCTTCATGTTTTGCAGAACACGCTACTGCTTCCTCAAACACATCAACCTCGGCTCAAATGGTGCAGGCGTGTTAATGGAATTGGAGCATCCAAGCAGGAAATGATTCGGCGTCAACGGCTCGGAATCTTTTGGCGAAAATGGAAGATGGGTCAACGGCCTGGAATTGACCATATTTTCGGCTTCTATAAGGAAGGAACGAAACGTCTCTAATTTAGGCGCCTGCTCCTTCATCATGCTTTCTTGACGGATTGGACCAGGCTCTCCCAGACACCACCTTCACCAGAATTGCTTGGTCTATTGAACATCGACTTTATCCCAAGAGCCGTCACCTTTGAATTAAAAGAATCATTATTGTCAATAAAGTTTTCAGTACCTTGGCGATGCCGACGAAATTTGTCCCATTGTCGCTTCTAATGGTCACTGGGACACCTCTTCGATGAATGAAGTTTCGAACACACAGCAGGCAGGCATCGCTTGGGAGGTCGGTGGCAATTTCAAGGTGAACGGCTCTTACCGTCAGGCAAGTAAAAAGTGCTACCCATCTTTTTCTTTTTGACGCCGAATGGTAACATTAATAGGGCCAAAATAGTCCAAGCCGGTGTAGGTAAACGCTCTGACATAAGGCGTC